TTCTTCACTCAAACACATGAAGTGTGTTTATAAATAAATAAATAAATAAATAAATAAATAAATAAATAAATAAATAAATAAATAAATGAAATATAAATACGGCTCGTGTTTGGTGAACAAATATAATTTAATGTAGTGCAAAAGACGCGAAAGAAATAAAAATTATGAGGCTAGAAAATTAAAACTCATACTGTATCCTTATCAAGCTCGTTGCGTCGACTTTCCACTGCGCTTGGTCCACGATTTTCAGAACCATCAGTGAAAAGCATAATCAGCTTGTGGCCGCCACTACTTGCAACCCATGTTTCATTCCAAGCGTCTGTAAAATTCACTTCATTCTGAAAAAAAAAATTATTGAACATAAAAAACCGAAAAGGTTTTCGTTTCCAAGGTTTATATTTGCGAGAGTGAGCAACAGCGGACCTTTGCTGCTAGCACATATGTTACCATTTGGGAATTGCTTACTTTTAGCGCGAATGATGCAAGGAGACGGTTTTTATGCGTTTTTGTACTACATAGATGTAAAAACGCATATTGTCGAGAAGCTTGTCTGTATCCTGTGTGTGTCTGTATGTGCACGTATACCGATTTCCCATCTCAAAACCAAAAAAAGCTACAAAGCTGAAATTTTGGGAACTTAATCCACATGCACCTACGGATCATTATCCCCAAAATGAATGCTCTTGCCCTGTGGTTCCCACGTATCGGCCCGTAGAAATTTTTTGCCGATAAGTTGCTAATTCGGGAGCCTGGAAAGCTAGAAAGCCGGAATTTTAAGAGAATGCTTCCTATCCAGGCTGGACATAATAAGTTCAAGCCCAATCCCCATAAATACGTGGTTCTCACGTACGGGCCGTGAAAATTTTGGTAGGCAATTTGCTAGTTTGCTGAAATTTTGAGATATTCCCCGTCTACGTACAGCGAAGCTAGAATGCTGAAATTTTGAGATATTCCCCGTCTACGTACAACCAGACAACTTCAAATTCAACTTCCAGGTGTGCGTTGTTCACACGAGCGGTAAGATGATAACTTGAGAACCAGAAAAGGTGTAAAGCTGAGAATTTTAATGGAATATTTTTTGACAGTTCTGATGGCCAGTTTCAATTCTTTCAGCTAAAAGCGTTTGTCGGAAAAAACTGTGCCGTTAGCGACAAAAACCTGCGAGGGAACCGTGCAAAAAAATGTATCTTTGCACCGACAGTCGGCGAGCTGGTCAATTTTTAATTTTTAATCTGGCTCTATTTTAGAGCGTTTCAAATTAATCACGATGAGAAGACGCAGCTGTGAAGATTACAGGACTTGTTTATTCGACACCTATTCAAAAAGTTTTTAAATTGATCATTTTTCGGGACATTTGGCAATTATTAAACAGGAAAAAATAGCGCAAGTAAAAATTTTTAAAAAAAAAGTCATTGCTGGAGTTTTCTTAAATTATTTGAACTTTTCAAAGAAAATTTTCCTGGGGACGAGTCACTGAGATTACTGAGCTGATTATATAATTTAATTTGCACACTGATTGTGTGGATCATATGGAGGGCAATTAAAACAGTCATGACTTTGGAACTTAACTTGCCTTTAGAAAAAGTGACAAGCTATAATTGAGAGCATGATTGATGTTTGCCTGGTCCCTTTCTTCGACCGCATTCAACAGCTCGCGCAGAATCTATAAAGCAAATAAATGCCAGGTGTTTTTTGTAGCCAGGCCCACCAAAGTGCTTGGCGTTGAAGGGCAAACCTCTATAAAATGGAGTCTTTCCTCTTTTCAAAATCTGTGTATTGTCTGACTCTACTGCAGCGAAATAGCCAAATTAATGCATATTGGCCTTAGCAAACCACATAAAGATAAATCTTATTACCGTCACCATTCCTATCAATCTCCGGAAAAGGAGGCTTCTGATAGCCTGGCCAGTAAGTGCACTGAAGTGCCATTTGAAGGACCGTTTTCAAGTGCTCTCGTTTTTCACACAGAGTGAAATTTGTGGCTCACTTTCGACTTGTAAATTTGTGGCGCACAGCAAACAATATTGGTGTAAAATTTTGGAATTTCGGGTAAATTTGTGAATCTCTAAAATTTATCTCTTATGGAAATAACTTGACGTTTCAGGAAGCGCCTGTGACGCAGTTTTTTGGTGGTCGTTGCTATTTTGCTGCTTTACAAATCTGCGTATGTTGATGGTGTTAAAATTAGGTTATGCAATCAGGACGCTCTAAAAGCAATATGCTTGCACAAATAACAAGAAAAAGTTGCTCGTGTATGGCAAATTTTTTGGCTAGAAAGTGAAAATCGATTAAACAAGAGAAGTTAAAGGACGCACTGGGGAAAAAAGGCAGCAATTTCCCAAGGGTAAAATTTTTCAGTCGAAAAGCGAAATTTCAAGAAAAACAAGATACTAAATAGTGTTTCAGAAGAATGCCCTTTTAGAAAGCTAAGTGGCTGACATATTAGCTTGGAAAACTCTCCTAGATGCATTTTCGAATTCAAACATTTTTGGTTAATTTTCTTTCATTGATCACCTTTTCCTGCACTGTCATGAAAATCACTCTTTTGAACCTTAGAAAACTCAAATTTACAAAGTCCCGAAGAAATCGAAAATATTAATACATTTTTAAAATATTTCTTTTGGATTTCTTTACTCTCAAAATATTTCTTTTGGATTTCTTTACTTTACCCTAGAAAGAATCGCTAAAATAAATTTATGATCATTGGGAATGCCCGGATAGTTGGTCCTGGAATTCCTTCTAGTGCTTTTACTATAAACTGGAATGCTTTTCATTCCGGATACCTCTTCCTGCTTATTTGCTATCATATATTCCTGCTAATTTTAAATTGCATCACGAATGCCTCTACACATCTACCGCATCCGCGAAATCTACAGACGCTTGAGCATTCCTTGCTAAATTCAGTAGGAAGTTTTCAAATAAGGTCATTGCTGAATTTTTACTGAAATTTTGCTGTTCCTCATGCGGTAAATCGTTCCGCTCCAGTTCTTCTAGCTTTTTTGCGTGAGGAAAATTGTTTCCTCCCTCTCCATTTTTGAAATATTTGTCAGGCCCTAATCGTCTGATTTTAGCACAATTGCCTGATTTTAGCGAGGGCCCAATTCGCCAGAAGATTTTGAAGCTTTTTGATTGCACAGAAAAAAATCCTCTTTCCTTGCCTTTGTACTTCATCATCCACCCACCCTCTTCCCTTCCGCTTACTACTTCTTTCTCCTTCCTTTCATTTAAACACATCACGAAGTTCAGAAATTATTTCATCCGCATTCGCGTTACAAGTCTCCAATTTCGTACATTTGTTAGCGCTCTGAAACACTCTTCAGCTCTTGAAAAAGAATTTCGGTATATTTCAGGATTACCCGTTTATTCCTTGTCATAGCCGGAATGAATCCGTCGAAGCAACCGCGAAGCACCGGTACTTGTCGACTGTTAAACCAAATTGCATTGATGTAGTCGTTCGGACTGAGCGTGGCTAGAATATGCAGAACGGTCATCCGAATCAGATGCACTGTTTGACCCTTAACACTGCCGCTCCTGCAAGTGGGAATAACACAAAATTCTAGCTTTAAGTGACAAAAGATTTGCTGAACGGTTCTGATTTCCGAACTTTAGGGGCTGCAAGAAGGTCGTGGACAAGAATGCCAAATGAGTAGGTGCCTTTCCTTTTACTCTGATACTTCGATCAGCTATTATTTCAAAGGCTGTTACTCTTCTATGAAGAAAAATCACAAATTTGAAAAAGTTGATGGCCATAAAAATCTGATTTTTTTTTTCTTAACATTTAAGGCTTTTTCTCAAAGACTCTTGGAATAATTTGGTCAGTCTGGCCTCTCAAATATCTTTGAGCAAGCTTACATATCAATGAGAAACAGGACGTCCTTTGGAGCAGATTGGGCATTCACGAACCAGGGCCGAAAGCGCGGATCGAATAAATCGATAGTGATCGGTTCCGGATCAATAATCCATTTCTTCACTGCAATATGCAATGCACAATTAGCACAAAGTGAACTTCTGCAATGGGCGACTAATGAAATGATTAAGAATTTCCTGGCTATACCGAAAATACCAAGTTCCGAGAATTCGCTGTGATGAACTAGGCTAAATTCTGAATTTTCTAGTTCTGTAACAGACACGATAAAGCACTCATATAGCTGTGATTGATCACTGGCTACATTTCAGTATCTTTGACCTTGACATCGATTATCCAGAACTTTCTGTGATGTCAAGATATCCCCGTTCAAGTTCCCTTGAGCTTTTTTATAGGAACGTGTATTCTTGCAAAACCACTATCTATAACAAACTTGGAAACAGGCGCGTCAGTCCACTAGTAGTGCCAATATACTGAGCTGCAACTGTCGCATCATTTTTGATGTTTTCCAGAAAAACTTGCTCGATTAACGGTGATGATGTCCATTCGAAGTCGCGTAACACGCTATTCTCTGAAACTATTCCAAAACGTAGAATTAATACAAGTTTTAAACAGAACAACAAGCACAAGAATAGATTTTTATATTTTGATTGTATATATATATATAATATATTAGATGACCTGTGTATTTACCGCTTTTGCTGTATATTGTTCTGGGTGCACAATGCGTAAACTTGAATAAATAGCAGAAAAAAATGATTGTCTTTTTGTCTGGGTCTCGATAATCCTCCAATTCCTTCTGGCGTCGTAAAAAAAACGCCAAAATTTTATCGTCCCGGAATTGTATAATCAACCTACATTTGGGAATGAAAAACCAGGTCTCGAGGGCTTCAACATGCATCGTTTGATGAACTAAGTTTTAATCAAAAACACATTACTGCTTCGAAGTTTTTTCCGTTCAGATTATGATGTAAGAGAATTTGGTGTATTCAAAAACAGTTCAGAAAAAAGATTGAAATAGGAATGATAAATCTAAACGGAAATGTTTCAATCCATTATGTTACATCTATTGCCTCATTCTGCACATAGGATTGCAAGGAAACCAGGAAATAACTAAATTTGTTTTCTTTTTTTTTTTGATTTTAGACCCTAAGACTTCTTGATTCATAAGTCTGTTCAATCGCATAAATAGA